CTTCCTCCTGGGAGTCCCCATTTCCATGACAGCCTCTGACACAGCTGGACCCGGCTAAACGGCCCACCCTGGTCTAGGGGCCTTTCTTTCGTATTCTTTCTCTCCAGGTTCACGTGTCTGAATCTGAGGCGTTTCCTATGTGTCAAGGTCTAGGTTCCCTCCCCTCTCTGGGCCCCTCCAGGGTGTCTGGTGTGACGTGGCCTCCCACGACTGACGCCGCGTTCCAGGCCATGGAAACAAAGGTAGAGGCCTCGCTGGCCGTACAGAGGCCGCACCCTCACTGACAGCGGGTGTTGATAGACTTTGGGTGTTGATAAAGTGTCTGTTTGGGTTCCTTACTGCAGCACACCGTGGGCGTGGCCCACTGTGTGATGTGGAGAGTGGGGGAGGCCCTGCCTATGTGGGAACAGGTTATGTGGGAGCTCTCTGCGCTTTCTCTTCCCTTTTGCCAGGAACCGAAAGCTGCTCTGAAAAATAAAGCCTGTGTAAGAAAGAAAAGGTTCGAAAGCCTGTGTGCACGTCTTTCCTTAGCTGAGGTGCCTTCCACATGCAGCGGGTGAGCCTGGCCTCTTCATGGAGGACCCGCTCAAGACTCAGGGCAGTGGCCTCCCACCGTGTTCACACCTGAGGCTGCCCTGGAGCCCCTAAATCCTGCATCCCTCTCCCCCTTGTCCATGCTCCTCTCTTTCCTCACCCCCTCCTTTTTGATCAGACCTGTTTTGGGGGCCAGGTGTAGGCCTCTGCATTATCCTTACTATGCTGCCATAAGACTGCTGGCTGTGAGCCCACAGAGGGGCTGGGGGGCTAGTGCTGGGGCACAAGAGCCAGATGCTGCAGACCCCTGTGGGCCACGTGTCCTACAGCAGACACTGCCTCCACCCCGTTCTCCCAGGTCCTTGCTCTAACTCACCCTCAGGGCCAGGTTACCAAGCAGAGGGGAGGAAAGGAGAACCTGAGGATCTCTGGGGGCAGAGAGGACGCTCGCCCCAGACCCAGGGGGCCGCTGAAGCAGCCTCTGCTTCAGCCTCCTCCCCTAAGCCCTGCCCTGACCTCCCTTTGGCTCTCTAACAAGAGGTCTGGAGTAGGAGGCTGGTAGGCAACAGCCCTGCCTTCTGACTTCTTTTACCCATGAAACGGTTATTGCATGTTCATCATTTGTCAAATATTTGTTAATTGGTTAGACAAATATAGTCCTTATATTTCCAAGATGTGCATATTCTTTTCTATGTATAGCTTTAGCAGTATAGGGAATCTGAAATGATAGTCATTTACTTGTAAACATATTTCTTAAAAAGAAAACGCTTCCCCTCACCCCTCCGTCGTTATTCTATCAGAGTTACTATGTGTAAAATAAAGAAATTCTCCAAACTCAATAACTGCAAAACGGATTTGAATTTACATTTGTGAAACAAATCAGAGACTCATTTTCTCTGCGTGTTTCCAGGGAGCTGTGGGCGACGCGAACTCCACCTGCCCGAAGTGAGAAATGATGAGCATTTCCCAGTAGTTGCATTATTTACCCTCCAGAGATTAACTCGGTAACAGGACTTCTCTCTAGGAAGACTTGAAGAGGAATCAGGCCCTTCTTTTTTTTTTCCCATTTATTTATTTTATTGCATTTTAGGTTTTGGGGTACATGTGAAGAACGTGCAAAATTGTTGCATAGGTACACACGTGGCAGTGTGATTTGCTGCCTTCCTCCCCATCACCTACATCTGGCATTTCTCCCCTTACTGTCCCTCCCCAGCTCCCCACCCCTCACCGTCCCTCCCCTATTTCCCCCCAACTGACCCCAGTGTGTAGTGCTCCCCTCCCTGTGTCCATGTGTTCTCATTGTTCAACACCCGCCTATGAGTGAGAGCATGCGATGTTTGATCTTCTGCTCTTCTGTCAGTTTGCTGAGAATGATGGTTTCCAGGTTCATCCATGTCCCTACAAAGGACACAAACTTATCGTTTTTGATGGCTGCATAATATTCCATAGTGTATATGTGCCACATTTTCCCTATCCAGTCTATCGTCGATGGGCATTTGGGTTGGTTCCAGGTCTTTGCTATTGTAAACAGTGCTGCAATGAACATTCGTGTGCACGTATCCTTATAGTAGAACGATTTGTAATCCTTTGGATATATACCCAGTTATGGGATTGCTGGGTCAAATGGAATTTCTATTTCTAGGTCCTTGAGGAATCGCCACACTGTCTTCCACAATGGTTGGACTAATTTACACTCCCACCAACAGTGTAAAAGTGTTCCTATTTCTCCACATCCTCTCCAGCATCTGTTGCAGGCAAGGACTTCATGACCAAAACACCAAAAGCATTGACAACAAAGGGCCCTTCTGTTATTTTGCCTTCTTCCGCAAACACCGTGAGCCACCTTTTGCTGCCCTTGAGCCCCGGCCCGTGCTCTGCGGCTCACACGGCACAGTCATGCACTCCAGCTTCCTGCCGTTGACTTCCAGCACAAGCATCATGTCCCGCTTGCCTTTGGTTAATTAAAAGCAAATACCTCTTTGCAATGCAGATAGCTGCTCTGTCAGTCACACTGGAACACGGTGGCCTCACCGCGCACAATTTTTAATTGAATGACTCCCACTCCTGAGACCTCTGGGTCTTTCATTAATCAGTTATATACACAAGAAAGGTGAAGCCTAATGAGGTGTGTGTCAGGCACTCTGACATGAAGTGGCCCAGGTGGGTAAATGTGCTGTTTCACATTTTAATAATTTGACACCCAGCATTCTGTGGTCCACACAATGCCAGTTTGTGACAATTCTAATAAATGCAAAGATCGCTTATCTGGTATCAAGACAAAATCTCTGAGCAGCAGGAACAAATACTTTCCTGGAGTGAGAACAGAAAGATCACGTCCTTGCTCTGTCCTAGATTCACACCAGGAGCTACCAAGCTGTTTGGTGAGACAGAAAATGGGTACTTAATTCAGCCCTATGTCAGTGAGCAGCTGTATAATTGCAGTTTTGAAACTTGGAGGATCTGGAGCCAGACTGTGTGATATCCTGTCATTGCACTGCAACCAGGAAAATTACTAAAATGATTTGTGTCTCAATTTTCCTATCAGTAAAATGGGTATAATGATAGGGCCTACCTCACAGAGTTGTCATAAGGACCGAAGGAGTCAATACATAGTGATGTATGGAACAGTCTGGATATACAGATGCTTTCTAAACACCAATAATTTTATATTCATGTGTTTCTGTCTGTTACTTGACAATGCCAAATGTCAACAAAATTTGATGTTTAGAATGAACAGATGTAGGTGTTTGGGCAAGATAATGGGTTCATTTTACTTTTCCTCTGAAGAACTTAGTGCTTACAGCTTGGTAGTTAAGCACATGGAGGACACAAGTCAGGCTGCCTGGTTTCAAATTCCAGCTCACCTTCAGATCACTGGCTAATGTTAGACGTGTGCTTGCATGGGGGGCAATTCCAAGAAGCCCCGTGAAAAGCAATAGATGAAAAACTGAAAGAAAGGAGCACATCCCTCAGCCACTGCCAAGTCAGAGGAGCCTGGCAAACAGGCTTTCCATGTATGCACAGATTTTCTTCCACTTCTGCCACCCTTAAGACAGCAAGGCCAACTCCTCCAGTTCCTTCCTCCTTCTCCCCAGCCTCCTCAATGTGAAGAAGACAAAGATGAAGACCTTTATAATGATCCACTTCTGCTTAATAAACGGTAAATATATTTTTTCTTCTTTATGGTTTTCTTAATAATATTTTCTTTGCTCCAGTTGATTATAAGAATACAGTGTATAATACATACACCATACAAAGTATGTGCTAACTATTTCTGTTATTGGAAAGGCTTCCAGTCAATTTAGGGAGTCAAAAGCTATATGTGGATTTTCAACTGCACAGGGGATTAGCGCCCCAACCCCTGTGTCATTCAAGCATCCACTGTAGGTAAATGACTTGAGTCAAAATTTCAAAAAAAAGTTGTACAATGATCATAAAGTGCATGAAAATGGTGGTTATACATTGTATACTCCACAGATTCCTCTCTGAACGCCTTCCTTAAAAGCATGAGAGAAATGGAGAGTGGGGTGTCCTGAATGGCTGCACTGGGAGGGACCATGTGGCTAAGGGAAGAGATCCTATTGCTGTTGCTCCCTTGTTTTTTGGTGTATTAGCATGACACTAAAAAGGACCCACTCCTGTCTGTTTATCATTCCTACAAACTTCTTTGATGATGAGCATCTCTTATCCTTTAGAGACCCTCAGAAAACAGACGCAGAGCCAACACCTACCCTCAAACATGAGACAGTGTTTGCCACCATGTAGCTTTTGATATAGTAAAAGCTGGCGTTGAAGTAACTGAAATGAATAGCATAACTAACCTCAAAGTTCTCAACCAAGTAAAAATTAAATTTTGTAAAGCCTTGAAACTAAATATAAAATATTCGGTATCAAAGTTCTTTCAAACGCATTCATTTTGTGATGATAAAATGGAGACCCAGGAAAGCGAGGAGCTTAGCTAAGATCACAGAGCTGCTCTGATCCTGTGATATCACCGTGTCTGTCTTTACATTACTCTGTTCGGCTTAGGTGCCTGCAGGCTTCTCCATCACACCTGTGTGAGGAGTGCACAGAAGCATAGAAGGTGCCATATCTTGGCAACGCATGTCATGCGAAGAAGAATCCAAATAATGCAAATACCTGTACCTGATACCAATTATGAAAGTGAGGTGGGCTGAACAAAGGAATTGTGGATTTCATTTTCAATGAGACGTGAAAGCATTTCCTGAAGGGTTCCTGTGGTGGAGGGAGGGTGATCTGGATGCCATAGTAGGGTGTTTACGAAAAGAAAGAAGCTGCTTCTAATTGTGTGTGTTTGGCCATATGCAATAATGAAGTAATTTACAGGAGTAGACAATGGGGAAATTTAAGAGTCATGCTTGTCTGCCAGTGGAAATTATCTACAGGATTTGAAAATGTAATTTGAAAGAGGGAAGAGAGTTGGAAACCAAACATATAATCAATACCTTGAAGACTGCATGCAGCATCATCTGGAGGCCATTTTTGCCAGGGTATTTCCCAGCGATGTTAGAGGATGACAAGTTGAAGAGGTTGGCTCCCGTTTCAGTGCAGATGGCGTGGACCAGCATTTTCTTCCCCACCCCAGACGGCCCGACTAACAGCAGCGATTTCACCAAAGGAGCTTTCTCATGCACTGCTGCAGAACCTAAAAAAGGCAGAGGCAAAGGTGCTCATGTTCTGCCAAGACAATCGGTGGTTCTTTGACTAGGATAACTCAAGGCCAGAACTGCACTGTGTGACCCCCGTTTCTGCAACAGTGATAAAGGCGTCGTGGAAAGCATTTCAAAGCAGAGACACGCCTCCACCCCAGCTGGCTCCCTGACACCTTTAATTTGTATGTCAGGGCTTGCGGTGGAGCCATGGGGTCTCTGTGGGTCCTTGGTTCCCTTCTTCTCCCCCTCTCCACATCAGTATTTCCCTAAACTCAAAATTTTAAAGAGCATTCTTATAATAGCTTACCTCCGGCTGTTTTTTTGTTTTGTTTTGTTTTGAGTGCTTTCCCTGCTTGTCAGCAGCATTAGATTCTTGGAAAGCTTGGGAAGAGGAATGTGGAGACACAGACTATAAGGCTGACTAAGAGTTCATTTCCCTACAACCCTCCTGCCTACCATTCAGTGATTCCTGTGAGATGAAGGGAAGATGGAGATCCAGGCAGCAGTAGCCTGAACTTCTTTCTCCTGCCCTGGTTTCTAGCCTGTCAGTAGCGGCAGAGTTGATCTGACGCTTGATAATCAAGCGACTTGAATTATTAGAGTCATTCAGAGGCTCATGCCTTGTGTTCTCCACTACACTGTCAATCTCCTCAGCGCCCAGAAGGGGCCTGAGGCGTGGGTATTCTCCACTGCAGAAAACACAAGCAGAGCAGGTATTGGGCACAACGCACCCAAAAGCTGAATGGGATTACATTCAGGAAAGTGTTGTGATCAAATCATTTACTCTCATGTGAGTTTGTGTTAAGCCACTTAATGGGCTCTTTTTGATCCTCTGTAAATGTCAATATAATGATTATGTTTTTCTTTTTTTCTTGTGTAATTGAAAAGATGATAGAAAGTTTAAGTGATGATTAGACACACCATTTTTATAGTTACCTGCCATTCTCCACATAAACTTGGAAAACAGTTTTGAGCAAATTCTCTTTAAAATGTAATTCAATGAGCATGCTTTTTTGGGAGCTAGTAGGGGCTGCAGCAATGTAATGGGATAAAGGAGAGACTGTTTTCCACAACGGGAGAGAGAAGCCATTCATTTGCCCAGCATTCGACAACCCCTGGGCATTGAAGGCTGCTCTGTGCTGGCCCTGGCTGGGAGCCAGGGTGGGGGTCCGTGGGAGTGGGGGCTGTGGTGGGGAGTGACACAAAAGTGGAAAAGACTCAGGATTTGCTGTGTAGAATTCATGGCCAGGGTGGAGCCGAACCTGTGTTGACATAAGGAGAATTGGAGGCAAGTGAGGCTGAGGTCCAGGAGAGCCATAGGGAGTTCAGACAAGAAACTGCTCCCCACGGGGGGCTCAGGCTGGACTTCCAGGAGGAGGTGTCACCTGGACTGGCCTCTGAGGAATGGGCAGAACAGGAGCATGCAGCAAGGGGGTGTGTGGGCAGGCTTCATGTGGGGCCGGGAAGCCAGGCTAGCACAGGGAGGGGCGAAGAGCCAGCGGTCAGAGGCCCTGAAAGGTGGTCGGACTGTAGGTGCCAGGGGTGCTGGCTGATGCCTGGGGCTGGGAGGGGTTTCCAGAAGTGGGTGAGGGGGGAGAGAACAGTGTTGAGGACCCTCTTGGGTTGGGAGGGGGCGGCAGGAGGGAGAGGGGCAAGGGCGGCTGGGTGGACCCGGGAGAGTGTGTGGCAGGGATACGGTCAGTGGCCTTCCAGACAAAGGGGGTGGTCACCAAGGTCACCCAGAGAGGTGAAAAGGGTGGTCCCAGGGAGCCTTCTCCAACTGGGGCCTGGCTAACCTCAGGAAGGGCAAAGGTGGGCAGAGGGCCAGGAGCTGGTGGGACACACATGTGCCAGTGTCCACGGCTCTTCCTTGGTAGAGCTACCAAGAGACACAGTATGGGTCCAGCTTTCGCACCTGAGCCCTGTTCAACTTTCTGAGGATTAAGAGGTAACAAGGAGGCCAGTGTTCTGTGTCCTAAACCAGGTTAGCCTCTTCCTAGCCCTGTGCCTCCAAGGAAGCCCCTTTGCATCTTGGAAGTGCTTACGAATTAGTAGAAGCTGGACCACATCCACCGGAAGGGTGGGGGATGAAACAGTGGTCGCTGTGTCTGCTCTGTGGGCATGCCCCCACTCTTCACTCCTCCCTGATCTTGATGTGGCAGTCATATCTCCAGGAGGGTGGGTGAATGCTGACCAGATGCCTCCTGGACTTCCTCTTCTCTACCAAGAGGGTTTTGGAGTCTAAGCCCTAGCCCCAGACTGCAGCCAGTGTCTCCTGGCCAGGTATGTAAGTGGCCACAAGATGTTCCCAAGGTCCTCTGCTGAGTGGCCAGGGTTTTAGTCTGGGCAGTGGCCACCATCAAGGTGATCTGAACATTCCTTTTTATAACAGGATGTTATTTTAATGTATGAACTGTAAATCAGACTCCCAAAAGCTTCACTGTGCACACAGTTCATCTGCCTGACGTTTCTACACATTCCAAACACTTGGCATACACGCTGTCATTAGAACAAACGCCCCAGCCAGCTCTGCTCTCCGAGGACTCGGCAGCCCTTCTGGACAGTAGGTACCTCAGTGAGAAAGGGAGGGTGCAGCTGAGGTACTTCCTGGGGGCCCTTCTGTGACGTGTTCAAAGCCAGCTTGGAAACCACAGATACCAGCTTGTATCCTTTGCAGCTGTGAAATACACCAGCCTCATTAGGGAGGCATTCCCGTCCCAAATTAATGGCTCTTGGTCAGTCTGTCCTTCCTTCCTTCACTCCCTTCCCTCCCTCCCACCTCCCTCTCTTTCTTTTTTGAGATTGAGTTTCACTTCTGTCACCCAGGCTGGAGTACAATGGCACAATCCCGGGTTTCAGCGATTTTCCTGCCTCAGCCTCCCAAGTAGCTGGGATCACAGGTGCCCACCACCATGCCTGGCTATTTTTTTTTTTTTCATATTTTTAGTAGAGACAGGGTTTCACCATGTTGGCCAGGCTGCTGTCGAACTCCTGACCTCAGGTGATCCCCCACCTTGGCCTCCCAAAGTGCTGGGATTACAGGCCTGAGCCACTGTGCCCGGCCTCATGGTGCTTTCTGCCTTACTGCCTTCCATGACACTTTGAGGAAGTGTGAGGCCTCCTCTATTTCACTTCCATTGACTGCCATACATATCATATGTTTATTCTGTTGACCACAAATTATGTCGACCCCCAAATTTGATATACTTGTTATATATAAATAATATAAATTATATGCTATTATATATTAGTACATAGAATATATGTATTTTTTCCACAACAGGAGAGAGAAACCATTCATTTGCCCTGCATTTGACACCTGGATATCAAAGGCTACTCTCTGCTGGCCTTGGCTGGGAGCCAGGATGGGGGTCCGTGGGAGTGGGGGGACCTTTTCCTGCTTACGAATCAGTAAAACCTGGACCCTGTCCACTGGGAAGGGTCTGGTGGGAGATGAAACCAGGGCCAGCACCGAGTAGCCTTCGATACCCAGGTGTTGAATGCAGGGCAAACTAATATAAATATATCATACTAATATAAAACGTATGTTGGCCCCAAATTCCATTTACTACTTCTGACATTAAGTTAGAAGAGGAATTAACTATTTCTTGCCAATAGGCTTAAGTTCTGAAGTCAAAGTGGAACAATCAGTGTTTGAACTACTCTCATCCCATTTTAAAGCAAATTAAACACACAGAAGGTGATTTCTATTTGAGACTTGTTGTCAGAACTGAAACTCCTGGCTGGAGTTGCCGTCTCTGCCCCAGGTGATTCAGGTCATACACATATCAAAGCCATTTAAAAAAAAAGAAAAAAGTGAACGTGAGTAGCAGCTATCTGTGTGACGGAGAGCCCATCTTTCCTGCATCACTTGCACACCACAGAGCTCTAGTGTGTCTGTCTGAAAAAAATCACAATTGAACCTCATTTAGCAGTGAGAGTAGACTTCGGTGAAAACCGGCAGGGCCTTAAAGGTGATCCTTTAGATCCGTGAATACGCTTGCACTGACTCCTGAAAGGCCGCCTCTGTTTAGGACCTCATAATAGAAGCCTGCGGGTGGAAGGCAGTGTAGCCCTTGCCGTTCTCTAATTTGATTAATTGTGATTGCAGATACTTGCTTTGCCTATTATCGCCCCAGCTCATCGCCCGTACGTCCTTCAGCCCAGCACAGCTAAACAGGCACACAGACAGGGCGGAGACGTGCTCTCCCTGTAGTACTTCGTGTGCTGTGGGCACACCATCAGAATGAAACTGTGCCCACACAGAAGTCTCAGCAGGAAACGTTAGGCTGCAGTGCACTTTAGATGACAAACAGAAGCACACTGTCCAAGCCAGCAAGTGGTGCAAGCCTGCTTTGGAAAAGGCACATCGGCGCACGCCGAGTCTTTACCTAATGGCCAGATTCCGTACAACGTGATGAGCTGTCTGACATCCAGGAGGGAGGGCATGGGTTCTATGGACACCTGGCGAAGAGTGGTCCCCAGGTAGCTGTACTCACCTGGAGAGAAAAGAAACATAGGAAAAATGAATGGAAAACAGTGCTGGTCTGAGCTGCCTAATTTTGGCACCTGCAAAATGAAAGCAGAATACAAGTTTAACATTTCAGAGCAGACAGAATCCTATCAGGAGAGTCATTATGAAGAACATGTCTTTTCTCAGAGAAAGGTTTGAAGAAAAACTATCCGGGCAAGAAAGCCCTGCTCTACTAGCTAGGGGAAGCAGGAAATTATGCTATTCGCCTCCTAATATTTTCTAAAACAACATTTGAATATTGAGTTATGCAAAATGGGGTAAAGTGCTAAAAAGGACACACAAAAAGGCTGAAATATAGTGGGTTCTGCTTTATTCATATTCCAAGAGATTATATATAATGTTTGAGCAAGCTTTACAAATAAGTTATTTAAGATCACTGTAGAATTTGTATTGGAGCAGTATACATCTGAGTACAAAATGCAGTCATTTGAAAGGAAGGGTATGAGTCTCATTTAGGATAAATAGAAACATCTCCTTTTGAGTGTAATATTCATTTACATTTTTATCATTTTTAAGAGATTAGCAAAGGGATAATACAGAAATAAATCTTACAGGTTTAATCAGAACACATCAAAGGGCTTAACTGTAACTAGTCATAAATCTGAAGTGTTATTTTCTAACTAATTTAGATAAGGTCACCAAGAAAATTAGTTTGGCTGTCTCCATTTGTCACGAGGACGGACCTTTATAGGTTCATATGATTCTCTCTTGATTTGTATCTGCATCTGGAGTAAAAATATTCAATGAATGAACCATGGTGTCTGCATTTTTTTCCCCTGATGCTTTCTTCCTATAGCAAGGCCTGGTCCTGCAGAGCTTCGGATGCTACATGTGTACAACATGCACGTTTATTTGTGTTTGAGACACTGACAATATCCAAAGCTTTTAAGCATTTTCAAATGCTAAGAAAATCGGAGTTAAAATTCAGACAGTGATCTCTGTTTTCTCGTGGGGGAGGCAGCCTTTCAGAGCCTCCACATGAAAAAAGAAAACGTCCTTGGCAAGGACGATGGGTATTGGTTGGGAGAATGAGTGATAATGGAAGCATCTATTACAGCTTCAGATACCACACTTTTTAACGAGCAGGTAATAAACAGAAGAGTGGTTAATTTGGCCTCCGCTAGAATAGAAGGAGATCCTGTGGCAACCGTTCAATCCAGGGCTCATTGCCAGTAAACATCAGAGGTAAGGGGAAAGTGACCCCAATTTTCCTGCTTATCTAAACCCACACTAATCTCCAGATGCACCATATTTTCTAGAACCTAACAGATTTTATTTAATCAAATGATATTCCGTTGGATTACTGGCTGTTGGTTCTGACAGAGGCAAGGACACAAGCAGCCTGGGCTGCCTGCCAAGTTTGGACACTCACACTGAAAGCACATGACTGTGTTTGCTGTGGCCCCACACAGAAGCCATGCCCCTTCCCATCCATGCATTCAGAGCTTGGGAAGTTCAGGACTCCCTGCACAGACATCGGATCTTCCGCAGGGGAGGGGAGAAGAAAATGGCAGATGAAAAGGCATTTGGGATGGAAGGCATGAAAATGCCAGGAAACCTAGAAGGGGCAGAAAACCAAACAGGGACTATGTGACAGGTGGGATGGAATGTTCTTGGAACTCTGTGTGGAGTCCTAATCCCCAACATCTCAGAGCATGAACTTATTTGGAAATAGGGTTGCTACAGAGAGATTTCATTAAGATGAGGTCATTAGACCCTAAATCCAACAGGACTGGTGTCCTTATAAAAGAGGAGAAATTTGAACACAGAGGCAGACCTGCACAGAGGCAGAGCACCACGTGAAGATGAAGGCAGAGAGGGAGGTGATGATTTTACACCAGGAAACACCAAAGATCGCCAGCCACATGCTAGGAGCAGCTGAAGGCTGCGCAGGTGCAGCCTGGGCCACTCCGTCTTGCAATTTGCTTAACGTTCCCAGTGATTTGGTGAGGCATTTGCTATAATTACCCCATCCCATAGGAGTGGAAACTGAGGCACAGAAAGAGTAAAGGCCTGGCATCCTGGAGGGAGGCAGCTTCAGAAGGAAGAGAGGGAGGAGAGATTCCCTGAGCCTAGGAGGGGAGACTGGTCAGTGGTCCCTGAGCAGTGGGCATCCAGCCCAGGCCCTGGAGGTCTGGAGGCCTTCCAGGGCACCAGCCCCCGGAATATCTCTGCAGCACCCTGGTGCTACCTGGGAACTGGAGGCCTTGATGATTCCTAGGGGCAGGGGTGGGGACTGGTAAGAAGGACTGAGTTTAAATCACCTTGGTAGAATAGAGGTTGTGAAGCCAAATTAAGGTGATTTAAAGAAAATAAGGCAATTGCTCTTTCACGCACACCTGAGATTGTGTCAGGTGCTGCTGGGCACAGGGCCAGTTCTGGAGCAGGGTGGCCATGCAGGGGCACAGCAAGCAGTGCGGTGGGTGGTGGGGGTGGGCTGGTGAGAGCCGAGGGCTGCGCCTGGAGGAGGGGTCGCCCCAAGCTCTGCAGTGCAGGCTTCACGTTCTCTGGCCCTGTTCCTCCTCTTCATCCTCTTCAGTCTCCTGTAGCTCTAACCTGCGGTGATTCTAATGACTGCTGGGAGTTGAATGGTGTTGAGGAGAGAGTGGGATTACAAATCTCAAGACGAAAAAAAGCAACTTGGTGCCCAGTGGCTGAGCATACCAGATCTGTGTAGAGCATTCCTGTCCTGGTGGAAGACATCAATCCGTGGAGCCACGTTTGTGTTGGGGATCCCTGCTCCTGCCCTGCCTGGATGAGGGGCTGGGGAGGCACATCCCACATCCACCCTCTCTCCTCTTCTAGAGGCAGGAAGAAATAAAAGGCTCTGAGCACTCACTCAGGCTTTGCAGTGCTGGCCCCTGGAGCAACAGAAAGGGAAACAGAGGAACCCTCTGGGCCATGCCTCCATTGTCAAGGTGTTAAAAAGAAACCACACAATAAATTCAAAACCAGGGAACCCAAGGGTGAGTAAGGGTGCCTGGGTCCTCGTCTTGTTAATTCTCATCTTAGACCAGATGACGAGGCATGACTTATCTGGGTGCTGAGAGCAGTGGGCTTTCCAGAGGTGGGGGCATTTCTAAGCCCCCTGAGTTGACCTCATCAGGAGGAGGTTCCAAGCTGTGCAGGATCCCAGCCCCCTAAGGTGGGAATTCTGCAGTGCTGTGTTGTCGGGGCACAGAGCCGTATGTGCTGCACTCTCTCCTGACGTCCTCACCTACTCTTGGTTTTATGGGTATGTAGAATGCTCACTACCAAACCTTGTGCCAAGGATTGTATTGTCAGTAGGTCATTTTTGATTGTCAGTAGGTCATTCTCAGCATTCTTCAGGAAGGGCTCAGGGGGAAAATTGCTGAATTCGTGCATGTCTGTAAGTTTGTGTCCTGTGTACTTGAAAATAAATTTGGCTGGGTACAAAGTCCTAAGATCCTGCTTCCTTTCCCTAAGCATCTTGAATATGTTACTCCATTTACTTCTGGTGTAAAGCATTGCTGTGGAAAAAGTCTGATGATAATCTAATTTTCTTCCCTTTCCAAGTCATGTGAGCTCTTTTACCTAGATACCCAAAGGCACTTTTCTTAGAATATGTCTTCTTGATCAATCTCAGTCAATACTCTTAGACAGACAGTGTGATCTTTCATTATGTGGTTTTAATATTTTTTAGACATTTAAAGCCTCTCCCCATTGTCCCGGAGAATACCTGCTAGAGGTGCGTCCGGCTGCAGCATTTCCTCTGAGATAACTTTGCCATGAAATATCTTGCTTTTATTATTATTTTCACATAGCTCTTGAATGTTGATTTTGGAAACAAAAGACATCATTCTATTTATAGCATTCTGTTTCCAGTATTTCCATGTACAAAGTATAGTAATTCTTGATTGCCGAAAATATCAAATCCTAGAAAACGTAGCATTCCTACACATGATGTTAACATTGCTTACAATGGTTGGTGGCTGAAGATTCATTTGATGGATATTTTTCCGAAATAGACAATTCTGATGATTCGGATAATTCTGATATTAGTTCTGTTTAGAAATAACTTCAAGAACAGTTTTTATATTTTATTTTCACATGGAAAATCAGTCAGATTTGTTTTAGCCTCAAAGATTGTGTTTATGTAAAGTTAAATGAGCATTGGCAGCTGCATTTTTTTTTTCTAAACAGGAAAAGGGCTAAAATAAATTTTCATGAATTAAAATTGTGTGTGTGTGTGTGTGTGTGTGTGTGTAGATGGAGAGAGAGAGAGAGAGAGAGAGAGACAAGGTCCTGCTTTTTCACTTGCGCTGGAATGCAGTAGTATGATCCGGACTCACTGCAACCTCGAATTCCTAGGCTCAAGCGCCCCTCCTGCCTCAGCCTCCTAAATAGCTGGGACTACAGGTGTGTCCCACAATGCCCAGCTAGTTTTTATTTTTTGTAGAAACAGGGTCTTGCTATGTTGCTAGGCTGATCTCAAACACCTGGTCTCAAGAGATCCTCCTGCCTTGGCCTCCCAGAGTGCTGAGATGACAGTTGCAAGCCACTGTGCCCGGCTAAAATCCTTTGCATTTGTTCTGTTCCTTTGCTTTGGTTTTCTTCTGTAGGGACTCATATTATCTGTATGTTGGATTTTCTTTGTCTGTCATCAATATTCGATATGTTCTTTTGAATTCTTTTAATATCCTTCATGTTTAGTTTTACTTTTTTTTTTTTTTTACTTGAGACAGAGTTTCACTCTTGCTGCCCAGACTGGAGTGCAATGGTATGATCTCAGCTCACCACAATCTCTGCCTGCTGAGTTCAAGATATTCTCTTGCCTCAGCCTCCTGAGTAGCTGGGATTACAGGTATGTGTCACCACACCTGGCTAATTTTGTATTTTTAGTAAAGACAGGGTTTCACCATATTGGCCAGGCTGGTCTCAAACTCCTGACCTCCTGATCCACCTGCCTCAGCCTCTGAAAGTGCTGGGATTACATAGTTTTACTTTTAAAAATTTGTCTTTTCACCTTTTATTTCTCTTAGTTATTTATTATCTTCATTTGCTCTTGCATTCATTATAATTTTTTTTCCCTAAAAAATTTTCTCCTTTATTTGTATTTATTGAGTTTTGTCACCTCATTTCTGGGTTTTACTCATTTTATTTTGTGCTGTTCTCATACGTCTTCTATAATTTTTTAAAATGTATATCAACTTTCTTTTTTGAGATGGAGTCCTGCTCTGTCCCCCAGGCTGGAGTGCATTGGCACAATCTTGGCTCACTGCAGCCTCCCTGGGTTCAAGCGATTCTCCTGCCTCAACCTCCCAAGTAGCTGAAATTACAGGTGTGTGCCACCATACCTGGCTAATTTTTGTACGGATGGTGTTTCTCCATGTTGACCAGGCTGGTCTGGAACTCCTGACCTCAAATGATCTGCCCGTCTCGGTCTCCCAAAGTGTTGGGATTACAGGCATGAACCACTGCACCTGGCTCTTAAGGTATATTAACTTGTTTTGAAATGGTTTCAGTAGAGGCCTGCTTTGTGGAGATGTCTTTTTGGGATGTTAATGGTTTCTTATTCTTTTTTCCTTATGATCATTTTGTTGGGCTTTGACCTTGAACTTTTCCATTGCTCAAATTTATATGAGTGAATAGTCCAATATCTTTAGAAGGAAGTGTGGTGTAGGACAGCTTTTCCAGTTTCACAGGAGGCTCCGCTGCCTTTATAGATGTTAAAAATGTACTGGCTTGTTTTCTGAGATATTGTGGCTCTGGTCCCCTCCCCTAATTTCTTCTGGGCCTTTTCTGTGTTTCATCTTTATTTTTCCCATCCTGTTCAATTTTGATTTCACTCCCAAGAGTGTCTTCATGGTATGGGCCCTGTGGAGGAAGGGACTGGGGTGGGTCACCACTCCAGCCCCTTCACACTTTCTTATTCGGGTCTTTTGCGCTCATCTGCTTTTGAGGTGGGCAAAACCCCTCCTAGTTTCAGCTTTGATTCTTACCTGGCCTACTGCACATTACCTGGCCCATTGCTCTCTGGTTATATTGGGGTCTCCTCTTCTCAGGTCCTTTAGTATCCCTAAAGCTTGTACTTTGGGGCTCAAGGGGGAAAACTTGTCATTTAGTTCTGGTGCAAGTGTTGCCTGGGGAGTTTTGGTTTTGTTTTCTAGTTGCTCTATTTTATGATGTGGGGATTTAGGAAGATACACTGCCATCTTTCAAGCTAAGGACCTTAACTGGGAAAAAATGAAAATATGGACAAGGTCAAAGTGTGCCAGATTTTGGGGGATATCTGACTACGTTGGTTAGATTGAGTCATTGTCACAAAATCTGTATTAGTTCATTCTTGCATTGCTATAAAGAAATAGCCAAGACTGGTTAATTTATAAATAAAAGAGGTTTCACTCACTCATGGTTCTGCAGGGTATACAGGAAGCATGATGCTGGCATCTGCTCAGCTTCTGGGGAGGCCTCAGGAAACTTACAATCATGACACAAGGCAAAGGGGGAGTAGACGTCTTATATGGCAGGAACAGGAGCAAGAGAGAGAGAAGTGGGAGGTGCTACGCACTTTCTCATGAGAACTCACTACTGTGAGAAAAGCACCAAGCAGCATGGTGCTAAACCATTCATGAGAAACTGCCTCCATGATCCAGTCACCTCCCGCAAAGCCTCATCTCCAACACTGGGGGTTATACTTCTGCATGAGATTTGGTGGGCACACAGATCCAAACCATATCAGAGATATTCTTAAATGGCCGACTCCATCCACTTTGACCTTGGGCATCTTAAAGATGCTTCTTGAAAATTGACATTGAAAAATTTCAGAAGGGATAAGAAATTAATAATTAGTTGAGAAGTCAGTCCACACATAGGTAATGAGAATCTACCATGTGCCAGGCACTGTACTAGGCACTGGGATCTTTTGTTCAGGAATCCAAACCATAAATAAGAGACAGTTCTGTTAAAAATGGCCGTTTAAAAATGTTAACAGAATTAACAAAACAGAATCAAGGTACAGGAGAAAATTCTCCAGCACTTGAAGAAGAAACGCAGATAGTAAAATAAATAGAAACCCCAAACATATCTCAACATATATTCTGGCAAAGTTCTTATGCTATTAGGAAATGTGAGGGCTCCTTCAAGCCCTCAAGAAGAAAACAAGGCTGTCTTGCAAAGGGATTAAAATAACCATCCTTTGATCAAAGGAGAATGCCAGCCTTCTTGCCCTTAGAGACGAAAATTGGGTCAATGCAGAAATCAGCATGGATAATGATAGGGACAGACAATAATACACTGAATAAAAAGAGAATCCAGGTATCCACACTGATAACACAATTTAAAAAGATTCCACACTTCCCTACACAAGAATGATATCTATTAAATGTAGAAGGAATGATATCTATTAAATGTAGAAGGAATGATGGAAAGAGAAAAATCCCCACTTTACAACTGCTACAGCAATAACTGACGCATATAAAAATCATCAGTGGGTGCTAAAACACTTTCCTGAAAGACTGCTGGGAACAGAATCTCCACAGTCTCAAAATATCACCCCTTGGATTGATTGTTCATTAATTATAAAGGGAAAGATGATGCTTTACAGTGGAGAAATCCAGGGAATAGCACCTAAGCCACAGGATTAAACTTAACATCACCACTGATGGGACAAAGTGGCAGGAAGTGCTCCCAGTGGGAAACACGGACGGGGACATACCATCACCTATGTCATTTTCTTGTCAAAAATGTTTAACCTGAATCAAATAATGAGGAAACCGTGACAAAAATTCAATTGAGGGACAGTCTGTGAACAGCTTAGACTCTTCAAAAATGTCAGTGTTGTGAAAGATGGCAGAAGGCTGGGAAACTGTTCCAGGCGGAAGGAATTAAGGGAGGCTGAAGAGATACAACAGTCACTCACACCTTCCTTGGCTGGATTTTGGATGGAGGAAGACAAATATTTATGAAGGACATTATCAGGATGATCGGGAAAGCTGAAGGTTCACTGTATATTTTTGCATTATTGTTCGATTTTCTGAGTGATTTTCCTTCTGTGGTTATGTAGGAGAATGTTGTCATTCATTAGGGATAATTTCTTCATAAAAGTAAAAATAATAATTGCCTTAGGATGGTAGAGTTATGAGGAATTTTAAGCTTTAAGTATGTTTTCAGGTCATCGACTTGTTTTTTAAAAATTTAGAGAAAACCATTAGGTGAGGCTGTGATAACAGATGTCCTCACCTCGGTCCTCCCTAATATTCGTGTCTCTATTGGAAGCTCTATTTTGGAAAGAATTCCTCCAGTAAGGATTCTGTTGCGGAAGCCCCAGGTGCCGTCCCCTAGGTGTATTTTTTTTATGATTCCCCATTTCCTTAAATCAGATTATGCCAGAAAGAAGGCATCAAGGAACCTTGCTAGTAGGTTAAAAGCCTGCTTCTACCACGTGAGGGGAGAGAGCTGCACCCATTTTATGAAGAGAATCTGTTAGTTCACATCAGCCTCTTAGGTCGTTTTAATCAATTCAATCCAACATTTACCACAAGCCGCCATGAGCCAGGTTTTGGCTTGAACAGAAATGTAAATAAAACATATTTCTGGCTGCTGGGATTTCAAAACATGAGAGGTGACATGTGACACACACATGCATTATTCTTTTTGTACTCACCAATGTAATCAGAGAGGTTGACTTTCAGAGCCTGGATCAGTAACCCTTCTTCCACCAGTTCCTTATACAGAGACTCGATGGTCCTGGGGAGAAAGCAGGGCGTCTGTTCCAGAGGCACGCGCACAGAAACCAGTGGTATTTCTGTTAGAGATCAACTTAAACCAGATCTATTTCAAAGTACGTTTGTTCATATTCAAATAAAAGGATTTTTGAAGTGTTTCTAAAAACAATACTTTTTTAAAACAGTACGTTCACTCATCCATGTGTATATGTGATGTTTCCCGTTAATGAGAGTGATCTCTTTGGGTGTCTGGGACCAGCCATAACTCCTGCAGTCTGCCCTTCCATCAGTCTTCATGATGGCACAAATATGAATTAGAAATTACCCAATACTAGTAATGCAATAGACCTGTAATTATCTATTCAGTTAGCATCTGCAAGCTGTAATAGATCATGAATCCTTTGTGAAATTTATGTTTCCTTTTAACCCAATTGCACAACTGTTTGAACAAGAACAAAGGCTTATGCTGAAGGTAATTCTAAAGCTATGAGGCTGATGATTTTTTAGGAGGGTGTTATACTTCATGGAGTGTTCACAGATGTCAAAACCACTTCTCTAAAAGGACCTTGGGCATATATCCAGCATATTGGTAATGTATACTAATTGAGAAAAAAATGGACATAGCATTCCACGTAATGAATGAAACTCCCAATGATACGTGCTGGGTTTTGGCTTGCAGGAATTAGATAGGTTAAACTCAAATATTATTCAGTATCATCCTTTGAGATGTTTTGTTTTATTCTTCCAACCTTCTCTGGTCTTTCTCTAAGTTGAGATTTGTAAATACAACTTTATTTAGACACTTCTTCTAAGTCTTCTGACTGTTCTGTGATACAAGTTAGTGTGATTAAAAGATATCCAAGAACACCAGTTAGACCCAAGCCAAATACTGTTAGGGGATGACTGGAGTTGTAATCCATCAGACATATTTAAAGGAGTATGCCCTCTGCTGAAAGTTAAGAAAGGTTTAATTTAGTGGAATTTGGGATAGCAATATCTGATCTATATCAAGGAAGTATCAGTATTCAAGTTAAAACTGTAGTGTTTTAACTTGAATACTTATTTAATATAAACATGTAACATAGGATAAAATATTAACATAAATTTGAAGAAGATTCTCTAACATAATCAGAGCAAACTATATTAAGAAGATCTGAGGCTGGGTGTGGTAGCTCACACCTGTAATCCCAGCACTTTGGGAGGCCAAGGTGGGTGGATCATCTGAGGTCAGGAGTTAGAGACCAGCCAGCCAACATGGTGAAACCCTGTTTCTACTAAAAATACAAAAAAATTAGCTGGGTCTGGTGGGGGGCACTTGTAATCCCAGCTACTCAGGAAGCTGAGACAGGAGAATTGCTTGAACCCCGGGGGTGGAGGTTGCAGTGAGCTGAGATGGCGCAACTGCAGTCCAGCCTGGGCAATAGAGCAGGACTCCATCTCAAAAAGCAAAAAGCTACTAGAAGGCACCATGGCACTGTGTGTGAGCATGGGCTGCACTCACCTTAAGAGATGGGACTCTGAGGCCCCTCTGACCCCAAAAGCTTCCCCAGGAGGTGCCAGTGTTTGTGCATGGACACATGTGTGCCTCCCCAGGAACTGGGGCTCCCGAGTCTCAAAATGCTGACCAGTTGCCTGTTAGGCGGCAGTCAGCCACAGCATCTCCACCCTGAACTGCTTCTCAGACAATGGAGCCTCAAGTGGAGAAAGCTACAGCCCCCTCCCTCTATGAAGGTCCCGGAGAACCATTTCTCTAGAGAGCAGAAATCCACACTGCCTCTGACTCTGTTTCCAGGGGCTGCTTGCCAGGGCTGCGGCAGTGTTCTGGCCTCCCTGGAGGTGTCCACAGATGCCTACTGCCGCTCTGGGTGCTCTGGCCTCCTTTTCCCCTCCAGAGAGCTATAGGCAGGGTTTCTCCCTCAAGCAGCTTCTCTTGAACAGAGTTTGGGAAGCATAATGCTGGGGCAGGAACCCCCAAATAGAAAAGCACAGGACCAAGGGAGGGGGGAAAGAACTCCCAAACGGAAAAGGGATAGAACCAAGAGAGAGGAGGGAACCCCCAAACAAGGGAGTGACAGGACCAAGGGAGACAGGAGGGAACCCCCAAACAGGGGAGTGACAGGACCAAGGAAGACAGGAGGGAACCCCAAAACAGGGAAGTGACAGGAGCCACGGGAGACTGGAGGGAACCCCCAGACAGAAGAGTGATAGAACCAAGAGAGGGGAGGGAACCCCCAAACACAGGAGCCACGGGTGCAGACCCACTAATAAGACCCATAGGAAGAAAAATACACATTCAAAATTATTTCCCACATCATTTATTAGGGATTTAATTAAATTCCTTGATAACATTTGAAAACCTAGTACTATTTATTTTAAATGTTAAAGCACTTTCAGGCCCCTCCAAATTAAAAATGAACACTGAATTCGTTTGTCCTGCACTGAAGCTGGGCCCATGAAGCTCCAGGAGATGACACAGCCCTTCCTGAGACTGGGCCTCACCGCTCTTATTCCTTCCAGCGGGAGCAAGGGCCTCAGCAGAGGCGCCTGGGCAGACTGCTATCCTGTGGGAGCTCTACTATAGGGAAATAGTCTATTTCCTCAAAAGTGTCACCAGGGTGTTATTTCTTAAAAAAATTTAAAGAACACCCCTTCCATGCATTTTAAAACTTAAAAAAGTGATATGAACTCAGAAGCGATGGGGGTCCAGGCTTGCCTTCTGGTCACCCAGGCATCTTTCCAGTCTGGGATTTGTACGGAATTAGAGGTGGCTCTCACCACTCTGGGACTGTGGAGTATGAAGAGGGCGTGGCATCACAGAAGGGGGTGCGCTTGGGGATTCCTATCTTCTTCTCGGGGGCACCCACTTCTCACGTGCATCACAAAACCACAAGTCAGCTCCTCACCTGTCGGCTGTTAGATCTTTATCCTTCTTGGCCTTTTTCTCTTTCTTTTTGCCTTTCTTTCCTTTCTTCTTTGGAAAAAAAGGAAATAACCAACAATTTAGTCAAAACAAGCAAGCAAATAAATCCTGGAAATCAGCTAAGTGTGCTGTTTTCTGGGGGTGGTGGGAGGTGGAGAGTTAATTGTGGTGGCGTGAACCTGGAGCTGCAGCGTTTTCATGAACGTAGGAACGGGCCTGGAAAACCCCAAGTTGCTTATGTGGGTGTGTCCTCGTGTGGATGGATGTGAGGTTCCCACTGTGGAACTTGCACAGGGCCAAATTCCAAATAGGCAAAAGCATTCTGGCTCTTTTTCTGCGTTCTGGCTTGGTGTCCTACAAAGGATGAGAGCGCCATGTGCACACACAGAGTCAAGTTGTGCTCCCCTTTGGTGCCTGATACATAGATGCTGAATGCTTGTGTTCCCCTAAAATCCATGAATTGAAACCTAACCCCAAGGTGCTGGTATTAAGAGATGGGGCCTTTGGGAGGCAATTAGGTCATAAGGGTTCCACAGTCATGGAGAGGTCTGAGGGGGCTTGTTCACTTCCACCATGTGAAGACACAGCTAGAAGGCACCATCTTTGAAGTGGATAATGAGGCCTCACCAGACACAAAACCACTAGACACCGAATCTGCTGGTGTCTAGATCTTGGACTTCCCAGCTCCCCAAACTATGAGCTATTAGTGTCTGTCATTTATTAACTACTCAGCCTGACAACGTTGTTATGGAAGTCTGAATGGCCTAAGGCAGTACCCAGTCACCTTTCTCTCTCAGGATCTGGCCCTAAATCTGGAGCCCTCAGGGCCAGACCACAGTCTATCTCTAGTTCCCAAGGGGCTTTGCATTCAGGTGCTTGTGACAGCCTAGAGGGACGTGCTCCAAAGGTGCTTATTTCACGCGATTATTTACCGTCTGTACATCCTCTTCAGTGTAACTATGTCTTTCACTCGTTTTCTAATTGGGTTGCTTATTTTTTAACTTTTGAGTTTTGAGGGTTCTTTATATGTTTATATGTTTGAGAGTTCAACATATGTCTAGTATACGAATACTAGATCTTTGTCAGATTTGTGGTTTGCAATATTTCCTCCCACTCTGTAGCTTGCCCTTTTTATCCTCTTAACAGAGTCTTTCACAGATAAGTCATTTTTAATTTTTATGAAGTCCAATATTTCCTTTTAGAAATTGTGTTTTGGATGCCAATTCTGAGAATGCTTTGTATAGCCTTAGGCCTCCAAAGTCTTCTCTTTCTGTTTTTCTAAAAGTTAAGTCTGTGACCCAGTTTGAATTAATTTTTGTATAAAGTGTGAGATTTAGTTTGAGATTCGTTTCTTTTTGCTTATGGATGTCCAGTTACTCCAGCACTACTTATTCAAAAGCATATCTTTCTGCCTTAAAATTACTTTTGTACCTTCATCAAAAGCCAGTTGGGCACGTTTGTGTGGGCCTATTTCTAGGATCTCTGTCCTATTCCATTGATCTATATGTTTAGCTCCTTACCAATAGCATACAGTCTTGATTACTGTAGCTATATAACAAGCCTTAACATTGAGCAAATAGATCCTTCTCACCTTAGTCTTCTTTTTCAAAATTGCTTTAGTTATTCTAGCTCCATTATCTTTCCATATAAATTTTAGAATAAACTTGTCTAGGTCTACAAGTTACATTTCTGGGATTTTGATAGAGTTGCATTAATCCTATCCTATGAAAAGACCCTAATGGACATCTTTACTATGTTGAATCTTCCAATTCATGAGTATGGTATGTCTATTCAGATCTGCTTTGATTTCTTTCACTGACATTGTGCATACAAGTCCTATACCTGTTTTGTTAGATTTACACATATGTATTTCATTTTTTTAGTGATTTAATTCACATTCCGCTGTAACTTTCATGTCTATGTCTATGTATTCATTGATGATATGTAGAAATACAATTGATTTTTTCGTGTTTATCTTATATCCTGAACCCTTGCTGATATAAGTTGATTTGGAGTTTGTAGGTTCCTTCAGATTTTCCACAACAAAATAATACCTTTTAATTTTATAATAGTAAAATAAAACTTTTTAATTTTATAATACTTTTAGATTTACAGAAAAATTTCAAAAATAGTACAGAAAGGTCCTGTATATCTCTCACATAATTTTCAATATTAACATCTTACATCACTATGAGACATTTGTCACAGCTAAGAAACCAACACTGGCACAATATTATCAATTAAAAACTCAAAGTGTATTAGGTTTCCACTAATTTTTCCCTAATGTCCTTTTGTGTTCCAGGATCCCAGGAAGGTTTTGGAATACTGATTTAATCTCTTTATTTGTTACTGGTTTGTTGAGGCTTTCTATTTCTTCTATATTGTAGGTAGGTTGTACATTTCTAAGAATTTATCCATTTTGGATAAATTCCTGGACACTTAACCAGGAAGACTAAACCAGGAACAAGCTGAATCGTTGAATAGACCAATAACAAGGTCTGAAGTAGGCAGCAATTAACAGCCTACCACCCAAAAAAAGTCTAGGACCAAATGGGTTCACAGCTGAATTCTACCAGACATACAAAGAGGAGCTGGTACCATTCTTCTGAAACTATTCCAAACAATACAAAAGAGGGAATCTTTCGTAACTCATTTTATGAGACCAATATCATCCTGATACCAAAATCTGGCAGAGACACAACTAAAAAGGAAAATTTCAGGCCAATATCCATGATGAACATCGATGTAAAAATCTTCAATAAAATACTGGCAAACCACATGCAATAGCATATCAAAAAGCTTATCCAACACAATCAAGTCAGCTTCATCCCAAGGATGCAAGGCTGGTTCAACATATGCAAATCTATAAATGTAATTCATTACATAAACAGAACCAAAGATAAAAACCACATGATTATCTCAATAGACACAGAGAAGGCCTTTGACAAAATTCAACAGTACTTTACACTAAAAACTCTCAATAAACGAGGAATTGATGTAACATATCTCAAAAATAATAAAAGCTATTTACGACAAACCCACAGCCAATATCATAGTGAATGGGCAAAAACCGGAAGCATTCCCTTTGAAATCTGGCACTAGACAAGTGTGCCCTCTCTCACCATTCCTATTCAACATATTATTGGAAGTTCTAGTTAGAGCAATCAGGCAAGAAAAAGAAATAAAGGTATTCACTTAGGAAGAGAGGATGTCAAATTGTCTGTATTTGCAGATGACATGATTGTATATTTAGAAGGCTCCATCTTCTCAGCCCAAAATCTCCTTAAATTGATAAGCAACTTCAGCAGTCTCAGGACACAAAATAAATGTGCAAAAATTGCGAGCATTCCTGTACACCAATAACAGACAAACAGAGAGCCAAATCATGAGTGAACTCTCATTCACAATTGCTACAAAGAGAATACAATACCTAGGAATACAGCTAACAAAGGACATGAAGGACCTCTTCAAGGACAACTACAAACCACTGCTCAAGGAAATAAGAGAGGACACAAACAGATGGAAAAACATTCCATGCTCATGGTTAGGAAGAATCAATATTGTGAAAATGGCCGTACTGCCCAAAGTAATTTACAGATTCAATGCTATCCCCATCAGGCTACCATTGACTTTCTTCACAGAACTGGAAAAAAACACCTTAAACTTGATATAAACCAAAAAAGAGCCTGCATAGCCAAGTCAATCCTAAGCAAAAAGAACAAAACTGGAGGTATCATACTGCCTGACCGGAAACTATACTACAAAGCTACAGTAATCAAAACAGAATGGTACTGGTACCAAAACAGATATAGACCAATGGAATGGAACAGAGGCCTCAGAAGTCATGCCACATGTCTACAACCATCTGATCTTTGACAAACCTGAGAAAAACAAGCAACGGGGAAAGGATTTCCTGTTTAATAAATGGTGTTGGGAAAACTGGCTAGCCATGTGCAGAAAGCTGAAACTGGAGTCCTTCCTTACACCTTATACAAAAATTAACTTCAGATGGATTAAAGATTTAAACATAAGACCTAATACCATAAAAACCCTAGAAGAAAACCTAGGGAAAACCATTCAGGACATAGGCATAGCCAAGAACTTCACAACTAAAACACCAAAAGCAATGGCCACAAAAGCCAAAATTGACAAATGGGACCTAATTAAACTTAAGAGCTTTTGCATAGCAAAAGAAACTATCAATAGAGTGAACCAGCAACCAACAGAATGGGAAAAAATTTTTGCAAGCTAACCATCTGACAAAGGGCTAATATCCAGGATCTATGGAGAGCTTAAACAAATTTACAAGAAAAAAATAACCTCATCAAAAAGTGAGCAAAGAATATGAAAAGAAACTTTTCAAAAGAAGACATTTTTGCAGCCAACAAACATATGAAAAAAAGCTTATCATCACTAGTCATTAGAGAAATGCGAAAACCACATTGAGATACCATCTCACACCAGTTAGAATGGCAAGCATTAAAAAATCAGGAGACAATAGATGCTGGAGAGGATGTGGAGAAATAGGAACACTCTCACACTGTTGGGGGGAGTGTAAATTAGTTCAACCATTGTGGAAGACAGTGTGGCGATTCCTCAAGGATCTAGAAATGGAATACCATTTGACCCAACAATCCCATTACGGGGTATATACCCAAAGGATTATAAATCGTTCTATTATAAAGACACATGCGCATGTATGTTCACTGTGGCACTGTTTATGATAGAAAAGACTTGGAACCAACCCAAATGTCCATAAAAGATAGACTGGATAAAGAAAATGTGGCATAAATTACCATGGAATACTATGCAGCCATAAGAAAGGATGAGTTCATGTCTTTTGCAGGGACATGTATGAATCTGGAAACCATCATTCTCAGCAAACTGACACAAGAACAGAAAACCAAACACCACATGTTCTCACTCATAAGTGGGTGTTGAACAATGAGAACACATGGACACAGGGAGGGGAACATCACACACTGGGGTCTGATGGGGAGTAGGGGGCTGGGGGAGGGATAGCAGGGATAGCTGACAGGGAGAAGAACTCTCAGCTGTCTACTTTGGGTATTCTGGCCCCAACGGCAAGGCTGTCTCTGGAATGAAGGTAGAAGTAGGGGCCAAACTAAATGAACTTCAGATACTCTGATTCAGGTACCTACTATAAACCACTATGAGATGGATCCGTGGCAACTTACACTTCAATTCATACAGTTCCTTGCCCTGTGATTCCCCTACTTATAAAAACCCGCTCATTACCATTGGCCTCCCTTATAGATCTATGTATAGGAACAGATGGGGGACCATTTGGGGAATGTGCTTCAATAGCTGTCATTCAGTGGGGCTTGGCTAATATGAATCTGCAACTGACCAGGGTTGGGGAGATGTTACTCTCAGATGGTTGGGTTTATTCTATTTATGAACCCACAGCCCCAAAGGTTAAATGGTGGACCAATTCGATTTACCAAAGGCAGGCATGTTTCCCCGTGAGGTGTCCTGGCAACGGCAGCCCTCCTGGACATGCCACAGCATGGCAGGGCTGCTTTTCATGGCTGAATTGGCCCCACTCACCCCTCTGCAGGCTCCTACCCCGCTCACCTCCTTCTTCTTTCTTGCTTTCTCTGGGTGCTCCCTTTCTCTGTCCACAGCTAGCTTTAAGTTTTTTAGCTCCTGTCTCATCAACTCATCAACCTAGCAGAATACAAAACATAACACTTTTAAATCACTTTGCGTGTCTTGTGTTTCATTTGCGAAGTTTAAAAATCCTTCACATTATGGGGTAGGTCATCAACAGGAAATTGTAAAGAAGCACAATGGTTGCAGCACATGGCGTGCTATCACCACACCGTAAACGTAGCTGTACCTGGACCCTGATCTCTGACTCCAATTCTTTCCGTTTCTCCTCTTTGATCAGTTCTGGATCATAGTCCTGAGAGAAATTCCAAGATTCATCTTTGTTCATCCAGATGTCTACACTCCAGAAGGGTAAAGAAAGAGAAAAAAATTAAAAAAGATGTAGGTTAATAAAAGCAGTCACTGCAATATAAACATAAGCCTAACTTTATATGCTATCGCATAGGATGCAAGTCTGAGTAGTATAAGCTGGACAGATGAGATTCATATATGTGCTTGTTAATACCTTAGAAAAAGAAAAAAACTGCTGATGCAAAAACATTGATATAACAGTATTTTACTGTATTATTACAATCAAGTAAAAACAATACGTTAATGGTGGGATTATACAATCACAGGTGTACCTTTTTGTAATGTTTTATCTTACTTTTTTTGTTTTCAAATGATTCACTAAAATATGAAAGATTTTTTTGCCTGTTGAACTCTCCAGGAATTATCTCTTGTCTCCTTTTGTAAAACAGACAACACTAAACACACGAGTACCCAATATTTCTTCCTAATTCAACATCTATATTTCTGAATTACTTTTTGGATGTTTTTGAAATCACACATATTTAAAATTTCCCTTTTGCCTCCTCCTCGTGGTTAGGAGGGTGGCCCTAGAGAAACATGACCCTAGAGAAAATAAGAATAACTTCCTATCACTAAAATAAATGGAAATAGAGCTCCTTACTCAGAAGGGAGGTTATGCTGAGGTGCGGAACAGCTGGATCCTTGATGTGGGACTTGGAAGAGGTCTCATGTGGGAAGCCAAGACTTGCCAGTTTGGGGAAGGAGACACCTTCCTGGAATCTATGTCGAGAATCTAAAGGAAATTTGCTGGAACTTGTCCAGTGACAACTGGCCACCCAGTCGGCCACTTCACTGGAAACTGACTTTAGGGCTGTGATGACCTTTAACCTGGGAAGGCAGCTGAGAACCCAGGGCGTGGACAGAGGCTCCCAACCTCTGCGGGACAAAGGCTACCGCTTGTGAAGACAGCAGAGGCTGCAGGCCTCCAAGACAGGTGGGGTGGTGAATGAATGAAGGAGATTTCTCAGCACAGACCTCCCACCCCCCAACAAGCATGGCATAACTCTCTGACAGAGAAAGGAAAGGGTGGCACTCCAACTCTCTGTTGGGAGGAAAGTCACGGTCACAGACAGAAGCACATGTCTGGCTGCTAGAGACCTACAGCCATCAAATGTGAAGACCCAGCATAGAGAAGTTTCCCCAGAGAATCACGGGACAAACCAATAGGAAGGAGGGGTTGAGTCTCTGAACAAACCACAGAGGCCAGGAATTGGCAAAAGGGACGAACAAAGAGTGGGGTGGGTATGAGATGCTGTGAGACCCTGGAAAAGCTGGACTCCCAGGAGAGGCCGAGGAAGACTGGGGAGATTTAGACGCACAGCTTAGAACTGGCGAATGGGCCGGACGATTATCCCGGGGGCTTTGGCCACCTGCCACCTGCCCGGGGCAGCACAGCCTGGCGCAAGTGCCACTGTTTGCGACCAGGCAGAACCCCTGCCCTACCACCTACCAGCTGGTGACATTGGCAGGGGACGGCCTTGCAGAGCCTATTCCCCTTTCTGAGAAATGAAAATACCCCTTCCTCACACCGATACGGTGATGGTAAATGGAATAAAATATATAAAGTTACACGAATAAATTAATAATTTGTTTTAAATAAATATTTATATAATTAAAGATATACAGTTCCAGTTTAGCCCCAATTAGTTGCTGCCATCCCCCAGGAAGCAGAGCATCTCACAGGGTCTTAGCCTACCTCACTGATACTATCTACATCCTGGGGGGAGAGGATCACGCAGGACAGCAGCCACACCAGAAACAGCTATGTCCCAAAGCTTCCTGCCAACAAAGAGAAATCGGATCCCTGAGGCCAGTGCCTGTGCCTTTAGTGGTCAGAGGCAGGGCCCTCAGGACAGGACATCTGCAGGAAGACAGGACATAGAAACACAGCTCCAGTTTTCAAACAGTGTGTTGGGTTCACAAGCTGCAGATGCTGATGCCGGTAGTGAGCATGGCACTTTCTGGGAAGAAGGGGTTGCTTGCCACACATGGCAGAGGCGGGTCCACCTGACTTCCTGGACAGACTACAGTGTGGATGGCTCAGCAGGTGTCTGGGCGGAGTGGATGGCGGGGGTGCCAGCAGGACCCAGCGAGGGCTCTCGGCTAGCCTATCCCCTGCCAGCAAACCGAAGGGCAGGGCTGTGTGGATCGCTGGCTGAACCGTCTCTGCCACAGAGAGATGGAGGCCCAGCCTGTGGTGATGCAAGGCCGGTTAGGCAGTTGGAAAATGATGCAGAAAATGAAACTGACAGAAGAGCAGAAAATCAAACACCGCATGTTCTCACTCATAGGCGGGTGTTGAACAATGAGAACACATGGACACAGGGAGGGGAGCACTACACACGGGGGTCCGTTGGGGGGAAACAGGGGAGGGACGGCGGGGGGTGGGCAGCTGGGGAGAGATAGCAAGGGGAGAAATGCCAGATGTAGGTGATGGGGAGGAAGGCAGCAAATCACACTGCCACGTGTGTACCTATGCAACAATCTTGCATGTTCTTCACATGTACCCCAAAACCTAAAATGCAATAAAATAAATAAATGGGGAAAAAAAAAAGAAAATCATGCAGAAAATGATGGAAACGTCTTTTAGAATGGTTGACGTGGGCTTATAAAGAGACAAAAAATAAATCACCCAGGTGGTAAATTTTTCATAGGACCGATGCACTTAGGTGTCCTTCTCCAGACAGGGCAGTCTCAGAAGAGGAGACCCAGAGCTGGGGGTGGGAAGAGGGCTAGTTGGGACTCTGAAGGTAACTGTGGAGGTGAGGCCGAAGATCAAGGGGTGTCATCATCCACAGGTGGCAGGTGATCAGCCAAAAACAGGTGTGATGACAGGAGGGGAGAAGAGATGAAAAAGGCTGATGGGCTGCAGTGGGCCTACGGGAGGCAGCTGAGAAGCTCGGGCTAAATTTATCTCCTTACACATAATCCTTCCCAGTGAGAGCCAATCCGAGAGCCAGGGCGCAGAAAAGAAGCATTGCATACATTGTCTAAGGCATCCCATTGGTGGAAGAAATACTTGATGTCACTACTATGTGGAAGTTCATTCTTTGCCTTGCATACTCTTAGATTTTGTGGTTAGCTTGCAGGATGCGTGTACACCAAAGGCCCATAGAGTTTACGACTCCTGCATTTGAAGTGGATTGCTCTTTTTCTTTTTCTTTTTTAAACAATTTATTTATTATACTTTAAGTTCTCCGGTACATGTGCAGACCGTGCAGGTTTGTTACATAGGTATACACCTGCCATGGTGGTGGTTTGCTGCATCCATCGCCCTGTCATCTACATTAGGTAATTCTCCTAATGCTGTTCCTCCCCAATCCCCTACCCACTGTTATTACTCCTATAACCATTCCAACCCCCAGGCTCCAGTGTGTGATGGTCCCCTCCCTGTGTCCACGTGCTCTCATTATTCAACACACACTTAATGAGTGAGAACATGCAGTGTTTAATTTTCTGTTCTTGTGTCAGTTTGCAGAGAATGATGGTTTCCAGTTTCATCCATGTCCCTGCAAAGGACATAAACTCATCCTTTTATATGGCTGCATAGTATTCCATGGTGTGTATGTGCCATATTTTTTTTATCCAGTCTATCACTGATGGGCATTTGGGTTGGTTCCAAGTCTTTGCTATTGTGCTATTGTTCACAGTGTTGAAATGAACGTATGTGTGCATGTGTCTTTATAATAGAATGATTTATAATCCTTTGGGTATATACCCAGTAATGTGATTGCTGGGTCAAATGGTATTTCTATTTCTAGATCCTTGAGGAATCGCCACACTGTCTTCCACAATGGTTGAATTAATTTACACTCCCACCAACAGTGTAAAAGCATTCCTATTTCTCCACATCCTCTCCAGCATCTGTCGTCTCTTGATTTTTTAAAGATCACTATTCTAACTGGCGTGAGGTGGTATCTCAATGTTGTTTTGATTTGCATTTCTCTAATGACCAATGATGATGAGCTTTTTTTTCATATGTTTGTTGGTTGTATAAATGTCTTCTTTTGAAAAGTATCTGTTCATATCCTTTCCCACTTTTGGATGGAGTTTATTTTTTTTATTTGTTTAAGTTCTCTATAGATTCTGGATATTAGCCCTTTGTCAGGTGGGTATATTGCAAAAGTATTTTCCCATTCTATTGGTTGCTGGTTCACTCTATTGATAGTTTCTTTTGCTGTGCAGAAGCTCTTAAGTTTAATTAGATCCCATTTGTCAATTTTGGCTTTTGTTGCCATTGCTTTTGGTGTTTTAGTCTTGAAGTCCTTGCCCATGCCTATGTCCTGAATGGTATTCCCTAGGTTTTCTTCTAGAGTTTTTATGATATTAGGCCTCATGTTTAAATCTTTAATCCATTTGGAGTTAATTTTTGTGTAAGGTGTAAGGAAGGACTCCAGTTTCAGCTTTCTGCATATGGCTAGCCAGTTTTCCCAACACCATTTATTAAATAGGGAATCCTTTCCCCATTGCTTATTTTTGTCTGGCTTGTCAAAGATCAGATCATTGTAGACATGTGGCGTGACTTCTGAGGTCTCTGTTCTGTTCCATTGGTCTATATATTTGTTTTGGTACCAGCACCATGCTGTTTTGGTTACTGTAGCTTTGTAGTATAGTTTGAAGTCAGGTAGCATGATGTCTCCAGCTTTTTGCTTATGATTGTCTTGGCTATGTGGGCTCTCTTTTGGTTCCATATGAAGTTTAAGGTGTTTTTTTCCAGTTCTGTGAAGAAAGTCAATGGTAGCTTGATGGGGATAGCACTGAATCTACAAATTACTTTGGGCAGTATGGCCATTTTCACAATATTGATTCTTCCTAACCATGAGCATGAAATGTTTTTCCATCTGTTTGTGTCCTCTCTTATTTCCTTGAGCAGTGGTTTGTAGTTCTCTTTGAAGAGGTCCTTCACATTGCTTGTTAGTTGTATTCCTAGGTATTTTATTCTTTTTGTAGCAATTGTGAATAAGAGTTCACTCATGATTTGGCTC